AGCTGTTCCTGCTTGGAAACCCTATCGCCGATCTCCATTGCCAAGCCGGTTAGCTGCTGCTGCTGCTGCTACTGTTGCTGCCGCTGCTGCTACTGTTGCTGCCGCTGCTGCTACTGCTGCTGCTGCTGTTGCTGCTGTTGCTGCTGCTGCTGCTGCTTCTGCAGGTGGGTACTATCTGCTGCATGCTATGCATTTGTTTGTTTTTTTTATTTGTTTTTCTTCTCGCAGTGTACAAACACCTCGTGCATTTATTGCTGCCTTCGCTCCGATTTCTTGATGGGGGGCCCCTGACAAATTAAACAAAACAATATCTTTATACTTTCTGGGTTTAGGGTTTAGGGTCTAGGGTTTAGGGTTTAGGGTCTATGGTTTAGGGTTTAGGGTTTTGAGGCGAACGGCTGCACCGTTTATTGTAGCGGTTAGTAAGCCTGTGGAGAAACTTTACTTTAGGGTTTAGGGTTTAGGGTTTAGGGTTTAGGGTTTAGGGTTTAGGGTTTAGAGTATTATCGCGAGTTGAGGCCAAGAGGCAGGCGGAATAAATATACTGACAGAGACATAGGTTGCTGCTGCTGCTGCTGCTGCAGCTGCTACTGCTGCAGCTGCTACTGCTGCTGCTGCTACTGCTGCTGCTACTGCTGCTGCTGCTGTTGCATCTACATAGCCATTTGCTGCTCCAGCAAATAATATTACATCTGCCTGCAAACTTTTAAACCCTATAAATCCCTGAAACCCTAAACCCTCATACCCAAGCCTTCCGGCCCTAACCCTAAACCCTAAGGCCGTAAACCCTAAACCCTAAACCATTAAACCCTAAAACCCTAAACCCTAGCACCTAAATCCTAGGGGCGCCTACTTGCTTTTGGGCTGCGGCAAGATACCAACTTCCCTCCAGGTGTTAGGGTTTAGGGTTTAGGGTTTAGGGTTTAGGGTTTAGGGTTTAAGGGTCTAGGGTTTAAGGGTCTAGGGTTTATACTGTGGCCCTTTTGCTGCATTAAATACAAAACACCCAAATAATAATATAAAATAAAATAAAACAAACAAAAGATATAATTTATTTAATCATAAAATTTGTGTTTATTATATTATATATTTTGTGTTGGGTGATATCTCTTCTTTGTTTTATTTATTATTATGTCTTCGTCTATTAGTTAAATAAAAATAAAAATAAAAATAAAGAACAAATATAAATATAAATATATAAATCGAGACAATAAACAAAAGAAAAATAAATCAAGAGAAAGACAGAGGGGGCCCCCAAGGGCCTCGCGCTGCTGCTGCTGCTGCTGCTGCTGCTGCAGCTGCAGCAGAGCAGCAGCAGCAGCAGAATTCTCAGCATATAGACGGAAATTATAAAATAAATAAAATAAATTAATTTAATTAATTAATTTAATTTGCATCTTGTTTTATTTTTTGTCCTCCTTCGTCAGCAGCATACAGAAGGAAGGGGGGCCCCCAGAAGCCACCCCACAGGTGTGGGGCCGCAGAAGACTAAGAAGGCTGGGATCGTCTCCTCCCAGGGGATCGTCTCCTCCCAGGGGATCGTCTCCATGAAGGCCCTAGCCAAACTCAGGGCCCCCAGTAAGGGGGGCAGCAGCAAGAAGCAGCAGCAGCAGCAGCAGCAGCAGCAGCAGCAGAACGGGAAGCACAGAAAGAGTGCTCTCTCTAACCAGCAGCAACAGCAAAAACAGCAGCAGCAGCAGCAGAATCAGCAACGCCCAACGAAGTATAAACACCAGCAGCAGCAGCAGCAGCAGCAACAGCAGCAGCAGCACAGCAGGCCCTTCTACACCCCAGTCTCATTACCTGCTGGGTACAGCAGCAGCCGCCTTATAATAAAAAACCTGCCTCCATTTCTTACTGAAGCAGCACTAAAGGAGCATATTGCTGCTGCATGCAGCAGCAGCAGCAGCAGCAGGAAGGGCAGCAGCAGCAGCAGCAGCAGCAGCAGCAGCAGCAGGGGCAGCAACATAACGGACTGTGTTATTAAAAGAAATAAAGAAGGTAGAAGCAGAGGGATTGCATTTGTGGGGTTAGAAACAGAAGCTGCTGCTGCTGCGCTGCTGCAGCAGCTCAATGATACGTACATATACACCCGAAAGATAGAAGTTAACTACGCTCTCCCTCGGGCGTTTGCTTCTGCTGCTGCTGCTCCTGCTGCTGCTGCAGCTGAGGCTGCCTCAGCTAAGAATGCAGCAGCAGCAGCAGCAGCACAAGAAGCAGCAGCAGCAGCAGCAGCAGCAAAAGCAGCAGGTAGATGGTCCCACAAGGTCTCCCCAAGGAAAGCGGGTGTCCGCTCAGAGCGGCAGCACATGCTGTTTGATGATGCAGAAGAAGAAGAAGCAGCAGCAGCAGCAGCAGCAGCAGCAGCAGAAGGAGCAGCAGCAGGAGCAGCAGAAAAGGGGGAGGAGACAGCAGCAACTGCTGCTGCTCTTACTGCACTGCTGCAGGAGGACGGGAACGTGGATGACTTGAAGTGGCTGCAGCAGCAGCAGCAGCAACAGCAGCAGCAGCAGGAGCAGCAGCAGCAAGAGCAGCAGCAGCAAGAGCAGCAGGAGATGGAGAGACAGCTTCTAGAAAACTTCGGGCGGATCCTTATAACTAATCTGCCTTATAGCTGCAGCGAAGAAGATGTGCGGTGTCTCTGTGCAGCAGCAGCAGCAACAACAGCAGCAGATATACAGGAAGTGCTGCTGATGAGTGATAAAGAGAGCAGAAAGCCCTTAGGAAGAGCTTTAGTATCTTTTGTCTTTGCTGCTGCTGCTGCTGCTGCACTTCACAAGATCAACGGGATGGTGTATAGGGGACGCATTCTTGCTGCAGCAGCAGCATACCCCAAGCAGCAGCAGCAGCAGCAGCAAGCTGCTACCACAGAAAAAAGCAGCTACAAAAAGAAACAGCAGCAGCAGCGGCAGCAGCAGCTGCAGCAGCAGCAGCAGCAAAAGAGCTGGAATCTGCTATATCTGCTGCCTTCTGCAGCAGCAGATGCAGCAGAGATGGATCTCTCCCTTTCGAAGCGGCAGATGCTGCTGCAGCAGAAGCAGCAGCAGCAGCAGCACGCAACTCCTGCAGCAGCAGCAGCACTTGCTGAGACACATGTGCTGCAGCAAACAAAGGACTGGATTGAAAGAGAAGGGCTGATTGCTTCAGCTTTTATTCGTAGAGGCCCCACTCTTGCAGCAGCAACACATGATGCAGCAGCAGATGCAGCAGCAGCAGGAGCAGCAGCAGCAGCAGCAGACAACCGCAGCAAAGACACTCTGATTGTAAAGCATCTTCCTGCTGCTCGAGTAAATGAACATGAGCTATTAAATTTGTTTGCGAGGTTCGGAGAAGTCAATCGCTTCTGTTTGTCTCCTTTAAAGACGCTGCTGGTGGTGCAGTTTGCTGCTGCTGCTGCTGCTGCTGCTGCACTGCGATCTCTCTCCTATAGAATGTATAAAGGAGTCCCCTTACTAATTGAAACATCACCTGTGGCTGTCTTTAAAGAAGATATAGAAGCGCAGCAAGAAGCAAACAAAGAAGCTGCTGCTGCTCTTGCTGCTGCTGCTGCCCTCGAAGGCTCCCACACCTCTTCTGCTGCTGCAGCAGCAGCAGCAGCAGCAGCAACAGCACAAACTGCAGCAGCAGAGAAGACAAAGCAGAAGCAGAAAGTACCCACGGACGACACAACAGCAGCAGCAGCAACAGCAACAACAGCAGCAGCAGCAGACGAGGAGGACAAAGAAGAGACTACTCCGCGTGCTGCTGCTTCTTTGTTTATAAAGAATTTAAACTTTAAAACAAGTGAAGCAGCATTAAGAGAAGCATTTATGAATACAGAAGGCTTCATTGCAGCAAAAATAATAACAAAGAAGGGGCCGCAGCAGCAGCAACTCTCAATGGGATATGGTTTTGTTGAGTTTGCTTCTGCTGCAGCAGCAGCAGCAGCAGCAAAGCAGCAGCAAGGCCTCATTATAGACGGACACCTGCTGCAAATCTCCCTCGCCAAACCCCGCCACAGCAGCAGCAGCAGCAGCAGCAGCAGCAGCAGCAGCAGCAGCAGCAGCAGCAAGAAGAGCAACAAGCTAGTTGTGAAGAATGTAGGGTTTGAAGCCTCAGCAAAAGATTTAAGAGACTTGTTTAGCCCCTTTGGAGATATTGTGTCAGTAAGAATCCCTAAGAATATTGAAGGCAGCAGCAGAGGCTTTGCATTTGTTACTTTTGCTGCTGCTGCTGCTGCTGCTGCTGCTGCTGAAGCACTCAGCAACACACACTTGTATGGAAGGCGCTTAATTATTGAATACTCTAATAACAGTATACAAACAACAAAGGGGGCCCCCTCGCTGTTAGCTGGGGGCCCCCCTAACGAGCAGCAGCAGCAGCAAGAGCAGCAGCAAGAGCAGCAGCAGCAGCAGCAAGAGCAGCAGCAAGAGCTGCAGCAGCAAGCAGGAAAAAAGAAGAGAGCGGTGGAAGGGGGTTTGCTGCCCTCGAACAAATTCAAAAAACACAAAACAAAATTTTAATATATAAACCCTAAACCCTAAACCCTAAACCCTCAGACTCTTAATGTCTATTAATATGCTTAGGAGGGACCTAAGGGCCCAAAGCAGAATTCTGAGAAGCCCTTAGGGTTTAGGGTTTAGGGTTTAGGGTTTAGGGTTTAGTGCTGTTTTCGTCTCGCCAATATAAGCAGCTCAAGAACGGCTTTCAGGCTAAGGGTTTAGGGTTTAGGGTTTAGGGTTTAGGCTTCACTGCCACTACGTAATTAGGGTTTGCGATGTAGGCATTAGTAATAGGAGAAATAGACAAAACTTAGGGCAGATATTAGGGTTTATGGTTTAGGGTTTAGGGTTTAGGTATTGAGGCCTACGGTTTAGAAATGAGTGTTTCAGCTAGGGTTTAGGGTTTAGGGATAAGGCTTAGTTTTTATGGCTTATGGTGTAGCGTTTAGGGTTCTAGGGTTTAGGGTTCTAGGGTTTTAGGGTTTAGGGTTTAGGGTTTAGGGTTTAGGGTTTAGGGTATAGGGTTTAGGGTTTAGGGTTTAGTAGCCACCCGTGGGGCCCTCAGGCGTTGGTTGTGTGGTTGTGAGCTGCAAGCTGCTGTTTGTATAATCAAATAAACATTTTTAATTATATTATTATTAATAAATTGTTTTATTTATTAGTTTTTTATCATTTAAATTAGGGTTTAGGGCTTAGGGTTTAGGGTTTAGGGTTTGCGTTCCATCCAGCGGTGTCTGCAAAACACGTTAGAGACCCCTTCTCGTCTGCAGCTGTAAACCCTAAACCCTAAACCCTAAACCCTAAACCCTAAACCCTAAAACCCTACACCCTACACCATACACCCTAAACCCTACACGCTAAACCCTACACCCTAGACCCTGATCGCCAAAGCCTCAAACCCTAAACCCTAAACCCTAAATCCTTTTTTTAAACCTCTTCTAATGCAGGACAGCAGCACAGGGGGGCCCCCCCTTCGCAGCGCTACAGCGGGGCCCCCAAATACTTTTGTGCGTTCATATAAAAAAATAAGGGTTTTAGCTTCCTGCAGCAAATCGAATGTCTGGCTGGTGCAGCAGCAGCAGCAGCAGCAGCAGCAGCAACAACAGCAACAACAGCAGCAGAGATGCAGCAGCAGCGATGCAAACGATCCAAGTAAAGCAACCGGAAGCAGCAGCAACAGCAGCAGCAGCAGCAGCAGCAACAGCAGCAGCAGCTCCCCCGCGGAAGGTTACACCAACAGCAGCAGCAGCAGCAGCAGCAACAGCAGCAGCAGCAGCAGCTACTTTGCTTTAAAGGAGGTTTCTTTAAATGCAGTTAAATCTCCTAAACAAGCAGAGCATCTGTGGGGAGAGAGAAGATGTCTCGAAACAATCAAAGGCCTGCCTTCTCTTCACGAACGCTGTCATCAACTGTAAACCCTAAACCCTAAACCCTAAACCATTAATTGACCCCCTTCACTTCAAGAACGCTGTCATAGACTGTAAACCCTAAACCCTAAACCCTAAACCCTAAAGGTCATTTATAAACCCTAAACCCTAAACCCTAAACCCTTTGCATGCGTTGTTTGTTTAATCTGAATTAGAGTTGAATGCTTCAAAGAGCACGATTTTATTTACTTTGTATTTTCTCTCGCTGGGGGGGGCCCCCTCTATAAACACATTCGCAGGGCTGGGGCCCTCCCCCTGCCACACGCCAAGTGGTATGCAGCAGAGGTAGGGTTTAGGGTTTAGGGTTTAGGGTTTAGGGTTTAAGGGTTTAGGGTTTAGGGTTTCGGGTTTGGGGTTTAGGGTTTAGGGTTTAAGGGTTTAGGGCTTGGGGTTTAGGGTTTAGGGTTTGGGGTTTAGGATTAACGGTTTAGGGTTGAGGGTTTGAGGTTTAAAGTTTAGGGTCGCGGTGCTAGGCGTCGTTGTTTAGGGTTTAGGGTTTAGGGTTTAGGGTTTAGGGTTTGTGGCGCAGATAGCGGTGACGTTAGGGGCGCTGCATGCAGCAGGGTTTTGTCACAGAGATATCCAAGCCTCAAATATAATTTTAAATATCAACGGCAGACCGCAGCTAATTGATTTCGGCTTTGCTTGCAAAATTAACCACTCAAGGCAAACCCTAAACCCTAAACCCTAAACCCTAAACCCTAAACCCTAAATACTTCCTTGAACATAAATATTCTGAATGCGTAAAAGGAAGACCCCAATTAATTGATTACGCATTTGCAAGCAGAATAAACACCACCACATAAACCCTAATTTAGGGTTTAGGGTTTAGGGTTTAGGGTTTAGGGTTTAGGGTTTGTGTTCGCAGGCCCCGGGCCTCTTCATTTTGCGGCACTCTTCATTCTATGGCTCCTGAAGTTGCAGCCCTGGGCCCTGGGGGCCCCCCAAGGGGCCCCCAAGGGGCCCCCACCGCAGGGGCCCCTCAGGAGGCCCTATCGGGGGCCCCTCAGGGGGCCCCCCACTCAAAGGCCCCTATAGGGGTCCCTCAGGGGGCCCCCATCAAAGGGAACCCTGAGGGGCCCCCCACCATAGGGGCCCCTGAGGGGGCCACCAAGACAGAGGCCCCTGAGGGGGCCCCCTGTACACCGGAGGCCGTTGAAGAGGCCCCTTGTATCAAATCTGCTGCAGGAGGCAGTGGGGGCCCCTCAGGGGGGCCCCCTATAGAAGGGTTTAGTTTGGGGCCCCCTGAAAGCAAAGCTGCTGGTGAAGGGTATTTAGGGGCCCCTGTGGATTGGTGGGGCTTAGGCGTGCTGCTGTACGAATGCCTTGCTGGGTAAGTAACTGCTGCTGCTGCTGCTGCTCCTGCTGCTGCTGCTGCTGCTACTGCTGCTACTGCTGCTGCTACTGCTGCTGCTGCTGCTTTTGATGGTGGTGCTGAAGCCAGTGTGCTGCAGTTGCTTCTGGTGGCTGCTGGTGGTGCTGCCTTGTGCTGCTGGTGGCGCTCCTGCTGCTGCTGCTGCTGCTGCTGCTGTTGCTGAAGCTGCTGCTGCAGTACAGCAGCAACTTATGTTTTGCTGCTGCTGCTGCTGCTGTGTCTCTGCAGCACCGCTCCATTTGGCTACAAAGACTATGAAAAAGATCCGTGAGTTACATGAAGGGGCCCCCCCGCAGCAGCAGCAGCAGCAGCTGCTGCTGCTGCTGCTGCTGCTTTTGTCTCTCCAATTCTCTTACTTCCCTCGTTGGTTGCTGCTGCTGAACTTCGCTGCTGCTAAACAGCACCCCCTGTTCTGCTGCTGCTGCAGCTTTCCACTGCTGCTGCTGATGCTAGTTCTATTCAATCCTTGCCCTGCTACTGCTGCTGTTGCTGCTGCTGCTGCTGTTGCTGCTGCTGCTGCTGCTGCAGGTCGTTGCGTATCGCTGACTTGGCTGCTGCTGCTCCGGACTCTGTCGAATTTCCAGCAGGGTTTCCAGAGGAAGCAAAAGGCATTATCAAGGCTCTGCTGCAGGTCTGCTGCTGCTGCTGCTGCTGCTGCTGCTGCTATATCACAGAGGAGAACCGCTTTTGGTTATGTTGCTGCAGCGGCTTCTGCTGCTGCTGCTGCTGCTGCTTCTGCTGCTGCTGGTTCCAAGCATATTAGAGTTACTTCTACACCCACACTGATGCTGCTACACCTGCTGCTGCTGTTGCTGCTGTTGCTGCTGCTGCTGCTGCTGCTGCTGCAGGCAGACCCTTCGGTGCGTTTAGGAACAAAGGGAGGCGCAGCAGAAGTAATGCAGCACCCGTTTTTTTCTGATGTCCCTTTTAATTTGATTGAAAATAAATTTGAGAGTGAAGAAGAAAAAGAAGAGACAGCTGCTGCTGCTGCTGCTGCTGCTGCTCTTGCTGCTGCTGTACCGCCGGCTGATAAGAGTTTGTTTATAAAAGAACTTCTTCAGGTAATTATTTTTCTTTATTTATTTGTTTTTTTATTTATTATTTATTTATTTATTTATGTTTGTTTATTTATTGTTATTTATTTATTGTTATTTATTTATTTATTGCTGTTGATTATTTGTTATTATTTATTTATTTATTATTATTTAATACTTTTTTGTTTTGTTTATTTTTATGTCTTTGTTATATTTTTTCTTCTTTTATTCTTAAAAGTGCATTATATGTGTATATACAAATATATATATATATATTTTTATATATATACACACACGGATTACTCCATATATATATATATAAATGTATATATATATATATATATA